AGCACCACTTCCGGCTTTTTTCTTTTTGCTTATGTGGTGCTGAGGAATCGAACCCAGGGCCTCATGCATGCAAGGCAAGTGCTCTACCACTGAGCCACTTCCCAGCCCCATAGAAAGAATTTTTATACATGCAAAAGATTTGAGACATGTAATACCGTTCCTATAAATTACTAGGAAAGACAGATTTACCACTGAAGAAAGGAAAAAAATTTAGCTGGGCGCTGGTGGCTGTAATCCTAGCTACTTAGAAGTCTGAGATCTGAGGATCTCAGTTCAAAGCCAGCTCTGGGCAGGACAGTCTGTGAGACTATTACCTCCAATAAACCACCAGAAAACCAGAAGTGGCTCTGTGGCTCAAATGGTAGAGCACTTGCCTTGAGCTGAAGAGTTGAGGGACAGCACTCAGGCCCAGAGTTCAAGCCCCATGACCCACAAAAGAAAAAAGAAAGGAAAAAAATTTAATGACAAATGTAGATTGTTTTCCAAAGATGTCTACAATACAACCTCCCAACTCAGTGTACCATTGACAGTCATCAGTAGGCTAGGAGTTTCCTTAGTGGTATAGCATGTGCTTAGCATGTTAAGGCCTGGGCTCTGTTCCCCCTGAAACCCTCCCCCAAAAAACAAATGGATTCTCTCCACTTCCTTCAATTTGGGTAGACTGACTCTTTTGATAAAGGAAAAATGGTGATGTTGCACTAAACTAACCTGACAACTTCTGCATTCTGCTTTTTGGAAGCCAACTACCATCTAAGACCTGTCATTACCCTGAAAGCATTATGTTGTGAAAAACCCATGTGGAGAAGATCTGGAAGATGAGACATTTCATAGAGAAGTGAAGAAGCAACAAGGACAGATCTCAGAGTGAAAAAGTCGCTTGGGAAATGGACCTGCCAGCCTCAGCAGCCCCGTGTTGCCATTAAATCAGCTGTAAATCAGTACAGCAAATAAAATAATTTGTTCTAAGCTTTTAAGATCTTGGGAGGTTTGTTATACAATGATAACTAGAACAAATACAAGGGAAAAGGCTGGGTCTGAAGCCAGCCCAGTCAGACAAATTTCAGAGAGTCTTGTCTCCAGCAAAAATGCTCAAGTGATACACTACCAGCCATCATTGAAAAGCTAAGCCATAGCTCAAGGCCCTGAGTTCAAGTCCTGATACCAGCACACATATATATGACAAAACCCCAACAATAAAAAAAATTGTTTAGCTGAGTACTAGTGGCTCAGACCTGTAATCCTGGCTACTCAGGAGGCTGAGATCTGAGAATTTCGGTTCAAAGCCAGCCCAGGCAGGAAAGTCCATGAGGCTCATATCTCCAGTTAACCACCAGAAAACCTCAGTAGCTCTTACATAGTTCAGGGACAGTATTCACAACCCAAGTTCAAGACCCACAACTGACAAAATAAATAGTTGTTTATACCCAGTAGACTAGCAAATAAATTGTAAATGTAGTTGATGCAAAGCATTGGGGATTTTGTGAAATGGTGGGGCCATTCTGGAGAATAGTCTGGCAGAATTTAGTTAAATGTGTATACACATTAAATTGTTTTGGGGCACATGGCTTCAAGAAATCTTAATTCTAAACAAGTTGTTTAAATAAGGATACAGGTAGATTCATTGCAACAATGAGAAGTACAAGTTGTCATGTCGAAAAGGAACTTTACAACTTTGGTGGGGGAGGTTTGGGTGGGGGGTGGGGGGAGGGTGGGAAGGGATGGGAAGGGGTAACAAAGAAGGAGGCTACAATGCTTGATAAGAAATGTATTCATTATTTTGCCCATGTAATTGTAACCCCTCTGTACAGTATTTTCACAATAAAAAATACAAATTTTTAAAAAAAGAAATCTTAATTCTGTAAAAAAAACAAATAGGATAATCACTACTTGGTTTTTGGTAGAATCTTAAGAATCCAACCTGAAGCAAGGTGCTGGTGGCTCATGCCTGTAATACTAGCTACTCAGGAGGCTGGGATCTGAGGATTTCCAGAGAGGCAGGAAAGTCTATGAGACTCCTATCTCCAGTTAACCACCAGAAAACCAGAAGTGGAGCTATGGCTCAAAGTGTTAGAGCACTAGCCTTGAGCAAAAGAGCTCAGGGACAGTATCCAGGCTCACGACCACCACCACCAACAACAAATCCAACCTCAGATTCTTAACGGGGAAATTACATAAGTAAAATAGGGTGGATGCATGTACTATGTATCACAAGCAAAGGAGGTGGGCTTGGTAGTACACTCTTGTAAGGTCCTATAAGACTAGCACTTGGGAAACAATAGAACATTTAGCTCAATAACATTTGTATAAATTTTTTTTTGGTCGGTCATGGGGCTTGAACTCTGGGCCTGAGCGCTGTCCCTCAGCTCTTCAGCTCAAGGCGAGCACTCTACCACTTGAGCTACAGCGCCACTTCCCATTTGTATAAATTTTATATGCAAAATGTTTCATCAAAATTGTTCAACTAGATGTATCAAATACTTCAGAATGGTTACAAAAGACCCTATAGAAGAGGGGGAATTTAGTAGAGAAAGTGGTTTAAAAAGGAAAGAAAAGATAATGTCTAAGATCATATCTGTGTGAACTAAGCTATAAAGTTAACCAAACTTCATGTTTTTGAAGTCCAACAATTATTCTCCAACTAAACTGAAATAGAACAATTTTAAAAATGTATACCAGCCAGGCACTGGTGGCTCACACCTGTAATCCTAGCTACTCAGAAGGCTGAGATCTGAGGATCTAGGTTCAAAGCCATCTAGGCAGGAAAGTTTATGAGATTTACCTCCAATTAACCACCAGAAAACTAGAAGTGGTTCTGTGGCTCAAGTGGTAGAGCACTCATCTTGAGCTAAAGCTCAGGGACAGCGCCCAGGCCCAGGGTTCAAGCCCCACGACCAAAAAAACAAAAACCCACAATTGAAAAAAAAAAAAAAGTGAAAACAGTGTGGTCCAAAAGGCAATCTCATTTTGTTAGATATGTAAGTTGGTATGATCTTTGAAAACAGTATTTAGTTCCTTAAAAAGGCTAATACCTTTCCAACAAACTAATATACATTGAAATTAAGAAACCAAAACTGGCCAGGTGCCGGTGGCTCACACCTGTAATCCTAGCTACTCAGGAAGCTGAGATCTGAGGATCACAGTTCAAAGCCAGCCCAGGCAGGAAAGTCTGTGAAACTCTTATCTCAAATAAACCACTCAGAAAACCAGAAGTAGTGCTGTGGCTCAAGTGGTAGAGCGTTCACCTTGAGCTAAAGAGCTCAGGGATGGTGCCCAGGTCGAGTTCAAGCCCCACAACCAAAAAAAAAAAAAAAGAAACCAAAACTCTTCTGGCGCTGGTGTCTCATGCCTGTCATCCTAGCTACTGAGGAGACTGAAGTCTGAAGATGGTGGTTCAAAGCCAGGCTGGGCAGAAAAACTTATGACAAGAAACTCTTATCTGCAGTTAACCAGAAAAAAAGCCCGAAATAGAGCCTGTGGTTCAAGTGGTAGCACACTGGCATTGGGTGAAAAAGCCAGGCCAAAGCAAGACTTGAGTTCAACTCTAGTACCAATACACACACACACACACACACACACTCAACAAGACTCCATAAATGGTACTGGTAAATGTAAAATTCGTGGGGTTACATATAGGAAATTAAATGTAAGTCCCATGACCTGAAACTAAAAACTTGCTGGGAAAAAGGATATTTAATGAAAGATAAACAATGTTCATGGACTAGAAGCCTCTGTTAAGAATATAACTTTCTTCAAATTAATCTATACAATCAAAGTACTCTCAATCAAAATTATGTTTATTTTTAACAAAATAAAATAGATGGTTCTATAATTTATAAAAAGGCAATAAAACTTATAAAAAGGCAAAGACTCTATAGAAGCCAAAGAAGAATAGTATTGGAGGCATAAACTAGCTGGCTTAATGACAACTTTAAAAGCGAACTAATTAAGATTTGTATTTGCAGAATGATATGTAACTCAGTAGGGCACAGGGAAATGAAAATGTACATACATGTCACCAAAGGATTTTTGACCGAAGTGCCAAGGTAAATCAAGAGGGAAAAGATAATCCTTTTAACACATGGTGTTGCATTAAGTTGGCTTCCCATATGCTGAAAAATGAACATTGTCCCTCGGGCCTGGCTTCTTACATTATTCTAATAGTCTTCACAGTACTTATTTCATAAGTATGGCGAGCAAAAAGAAATTTGCAGATTCCCTTGAAAGGACAAGTCATACACCTGTCTTCATTGTCAAAATTATAATCTTGTCCACAAACTTTTTCTTGTTTCTGTGTAAATTTGCAATTTGTCAGATTTCTATAAATAGCCTTATTTTATGGTAAGTGCAGTTTATTAAATGTCTTCAATGAATACGAAGTCTTATTTTTTGAAAGCAAATATTACATTCTCATTCAAAAGGGAAATGATAAATGAGCGCACCTTATTTACAAAGCAGCTGTGAAAATACTAAAATTGGGTCTTTAGGTCTTCCTGTGAATCAGACTGAAAAAAGAAAGTTCAGGAACTTCCCAAATGAGTTCATTTATATCCTCATTAAAAACACATTTGCTAAATTTGGAATAGATAGGTAAGGCAATTCTGGAGAAATGTTGAACCAACAGTAACTATATTAAAAATAGAATCTGGTACCCAGGGTTTATTCATGACTGGATAATGGTTCCTTCTCCCTAACTTAAACTAGGGCTTTAAAGTTTTATTTCTAGATGAATGGTTATTGCATTCACATTTTCCCTTCTTTTGTTGGTGGGGTGGGGTCTGAGACCAGCTCACTGGCTAGCATTCTTAACCCCCACGATTTTTCTTTCTTTGTGAGTTCTAACATAGATGTGCAGCTTTTCCTTCTGTGCCAGCTGTCACATCAAGACTACTCAGTTTGTGCCCCAAACCTCTTTAAGGATTTTCCAAATTATTTTTCTTTGTATTCAGAAAGTAGAATGTAGTTTCCTACGTAGATTTGTGGTGCATGATTTTTGTTTTGTTTGTCAGTCGTGAGGCTTGAACTCTGGGCTTGGGCATGGAGTCCCTGCGCTCTTCAGCTCAAGGCAAGCGCCCTACCACTTGAGCCACAGCGCCACTTCCGGTTTTCTAGTGGTTTATTGGAGATAAGAGTCTCATGGACTTTCCTGCCCAGGCTGGCTTTGAACCATGATCCTCATATCCTAGATCATACTTGTAATATCAACTTCTTGGGAGGCTGAGGCAGAAGGATGGCTTGGGCTCAAGTGCTTTTGAGGACTTCATAGGGAAGGTCCTAATGAATTGAGTGTATTAAGCAAGGGGGTTGGGCAGAGGTACACTTCCTTAAGAAACATACATAGACATGTTTTCTTTCATAGATTATTTTCTTTCATTGCTATTACAAAATATTCACAACTATGTAGCCAAAAAAGCACCCATTTGTTACATTCCACTTATTATCTTATAGGTCTAGAGCTTAGAATTGCAACATGGGCCCAGCGATGTTGGCTCACACCTGTAATCCTAGCTACTCAGGAGGCTGAGATCTGAGGATCATAGTTTGAAGCCAGCCCAGACAGGAAACTCCATGAGACTCTTATCTCCAATAAACTACCCAAAAAAGCTAGAAGTAGCACTGTGGCTCAAGTGGTAGAGTGCTAGCCTTGAGCAAAAGACACTCAGGGACAGTATCCAGGCCCTGAGTTCAAATCCTTGCAAATTCTAGGCTAGAGTTCATTTCTGTGTCCTTTTTAGGAGGCAGGTTGTGGGAGGTGATACTGGGATTTGAAATCAGGGCCTCCTATTTTCTAGGCTGGTGTGTATCACTTGACCCAATCTTTCCAGACTTGTTTGACTTGTTTTTCTGGTGCTTTATGAGATAGGATTTATTTTCTGCCTGGGCACATCACTGGGCTAACTGGCTTGCACCACCACGTCCAGCCTCCCTCTGTGGAGATGGAGTCTCACAGACTTTTCTGCCCAGGCAATCCTGA